GCTTGATTCTGTAATCGTTCTAGATGATTTACATGTGACCAATATGTACTTCCCCATGATGATACGCTGTATGACAGGTGACTATAAATGAATGCGTAATGTAAAGATAAAAGGATTTCAGTGGAGAAGTAAGGTCGTGTTTTGATGATCACGTGAATACCGAAAGACACCTTTTGAATTAAGGCCTGCGCATGCTCATTGAATTTCACTTGTTTATCTAATACCACACCAAGAAATTTAGTAGATGAACATGCATGAATGAAGTGTCCATGAAGCGTCACTGCTAATGAAGCGATGTTTCGAAACAACTGCGGGAAATGGAATACCATGTACACAGGCATGTGCCAATAGTAACTCAGTAATACAAATTTCTTGAGTCATTATACCGGCAAACATTGGGTAATTAATTTTATGATATCTCAAAAACTATTTGTTTAGAGGAACAGTAATTACATTCTTGAAATCGGCATCAAAAACTGAATCACACTGTGAATTTTCTTTATAAACACATGAAAATATCTGGCATTTTATCTCAAGTACAATGTCCCCCTCCCCCCAAAGTGCTCTCTTCAGAGCCGGCGTGTTTCAGTGGTCGAACAGGTGCAGGAGCACTGTCATCCATTGATAGAGCGAGGCTGCTTTTACTGCTTTGAGAGCAGCCAGGAGCAGTTTGCATTGCTCTCGCCTGAAATACGGAGTAGGCGCAGGGCCACGAGTCACGTGGTCCTTGAACGTCACAGCCTCCAAATTTTTCTTCAGCCGGCGAGCGCGGCGGCAATGGTAGCTACCATGTGTAGTTAGACACCGCTGTTTTGTATAAATGATTGCGACGACAGCTGGATGTTTGCCAAATGAGTCATTGCACAAACTTACTCGGTATTAGGATAATGAAAAATATGTGGCTGACAGATTTCATGCATATTTTGCTGCTGCCCACAAAGAATATGCTGCGGCTTGGAATGTTTCAGTCACATGGTCTTCCTATTCGTCACCTTCACACCTGCCCTGCGGGAGAGTGGCGCATTCCAGTGGCAGGTAGTGGCCCTGCTCTCAGTGCTCTGTCCCCCACTCCTCACTTCTCTGCCCCTCTACTCCTGTTCTCTCAATGAAATTCGCCATAAATGTGGCATGTCTCTTCATCAGCTTTGAAACGGGTGAAGAGAATTCCCTGGGCCGTGTCTGAGCGCTGGAACAGAGAGCCGCAACTGTGGCATTCAGGGAAAAAAAAAGTAGATCGTCATCACAGACTTTTTTTTTGGCCAATAAATACTTTTCGTGCCCCCACCCCCAAAATCTTCCCACTTTTGCTCTTTTGCTCACTTTCATTACAGTTGGCTCTTGTTAATTCAAACTCGAAACAACCTCTTAATTTTGTTGGAATTATCAATAAGTTTGAATTATCATAATTTCTCGGATAGATGACTCTGGGCGAGATGACATTACACATTATGATCAGGCATTAATTTTATCCCATTTAAATATTTTTATGTGCTTCAAACCCTAACTGCACACAATGAACAGAAAGTAGGGATGTAAGGTCTACAAGTTTATTGGCCATTTACTGCTGATCAGACCTTTTAAAAAAATTATGAATTGCCAACTACTTCTTTGCTATAGGTATGTGCTTGCAGCACAAAGTTCTCTATACCAGTTGAGAAGCATCATTGTTTACCATGCATGTTCTTTGTTTCAAACATTTGTTTACTAGCAAAGCTGCTTCCCTGGAAAGTCTAAGGCGCTTAGTTTTCATTTTTTAGACTGTAAAAATTATATAAGCCTGTAAATTTTTAAATAGTAATGGGAAAGCAGCAGATATTTTATGGTACGGAATTGCAAGAAGTATGAATAACCGTACGTACAATGGAGTTTGAATTAAGAGGCTTTTAAATACATCGAAAGAATAGAGAGCCAACAAAAAAATTGAATTTTAGTTGAATTAACCGAAGGTATGAATGATCAGTTTGAATTATCGCGAGTCTACTGTATTTCGAATTTTGTTTAACTTGAAATTGCTCAGCGTTCCAGTTGAATTCGAATTAAGGAGGGAAGAGGCACTTAGCCATCAGGCATCTTATTGTTTAAGCTAGGGTGATGAAAACTTATCAGATGATGTATTTACATGTGCATATATCAAATATGAATGCAGTTTTTATGTACCTCTACCAGTTTGTTTTTAATTAGTCATTATTTAAAAGTTCTTTTGATCACCTTTTCAGTAAATTGGCTGTACAGATCTTGCTGAATTAAAAAATGTGATTGCATTCTACAATTAGCAAAGAGTACAAAAAGCAAGTTTCATGGCTCTAGCTTTCCTACAACAAATGTTATGAAGTTTACAAGTTCATTCTTCCACTTTCAAGGAACGATAATTTTTGTATTTTATTCTTTCTAAAAATTTATGGTGTCCTATAGTGCATATGGCACTTTCTTGCACTCGCTAAGCATCCAGCTTCTCAACAAGACAAAAATGATCAAACTCCAGTGTACCAAAGCTGAGAAGCGCTTGTCAGAAGAATTAAAGGTGGCCAAAAGCTGGAACTGAAAAAAATGGCAAAAACAAAGCTCTGTATATTCAAGGAATTCTGCACAAACAAAAATGCTTCTCTTTGCATATAAATGCCTCAGAAAGCACCTGGGCAGTTGTCATTGTCACACTTTTGTCGTTGCCGCCACTTTGCTTGTTGCAGGAACCTGGAAGATGATGAACACTTTCGCTCGGCACTCATAATCGGACGAGAATCCCCCTCTTCTGCCCGTCGCTCGCTCATGGAGTTTTGCTCTAGTTGAAGTTATTTGGGATACGTGTGGAGGCTTCTTTCATTCCTGATATTGACTTTAATGCAGCGCATTTAGCCTGACTGGGTACCCTCCCAGAGCTCCACTCACTGTCAACAAGTGCACAGTTGCGGCACTCTGAAATCAGCTGTATCGCAAGTCTACATTTACACTCGCATTTTTCAATAGAAATGGCCCCACTGCATGTCCGGCATTTAGCCCTTCTTTCAAGAAGCTTGTTTATCGCAGATAAGTCTGCGATCCCGCAGGCAGCCGCCAATGGGTCCGAGTCCTCGCCCGCTGTTGCGAGCGTTTGCAGCTTGCGCTCGCTCGCAGAAACTCGCGATAAGCTGCTGATCTTATCAGCATTCACTTTCTGCTGTTGCGCACGATCAAAAAGGTTGTGTCCTTCCTTATGCGCTGCCTATCGCCGACTTCGTCCGAGGCGGCCAAGGAAAGAGGCAGAGATGTTGGCGTTTCATTCGACGGATCGTGTTCCGTCGCCGCGCAGTTCTGTACTAGGTGCGCGTCGGATATACCCGCGCCATTATCTATTTTTGCCGTAGATTTCTTGCGTTTTTTCCCAAACTTGTGAGCAGTGCGGAACTTGCGATACGGCTTCGGCATGATGAAAAGTTCAAGCCAGTTTCAAAGTGTGGCCAAGAGCGTAGGCCTAAAAACAGGGTTCAGGAAGCCGGCGAGAACAATGACATGTGAGCGAGATACACTGACGACTTCATGTGCGTTCTACTGCCGCACGCAGCAGACAGCTCGGTAAAACGCGGCCGAGAGCGTAGGCCTTTCGCACTGTCCCGGCGGCTTTGTCGAGCTCGGCGGCTTTGTCGAGACTATACAGAGATGCTTGCTCTAATTTCTCGCTAGCTCTCGGAAGTTCAGGAAGCCGACGAGTACAAAATGACATACACTCGCCACATCGCTTGCGCTCCGCTGCCGCACGCAGCAGACAGCTCAAGAGGCCCGGTGAATCAAAAGGCGCGATTTAGTCACGTGTGCTCACTGCATCAATAGGCTCACACGATGGGGCTTTTTTTGTATGCGAATTCACGGCGTGCATACTGAGTGGATGAAAAAAAGCGCGGCAGGATATGAAAGAAAAAAAAAGTCTCTTTCGAATGCGACCAAGACAGCTGCTGTATCAAGCGTAGAACGGCAACACTGCGGCGCTGAAAAAGCCCGTTTTTCACGCGTCCATGGCCGAAAATTCAGCTCACTAACGTAGCGTAAACTCATGGCTAAATTACCTATCTAGGACGCGTGAAAATTGGAGAGATTATGCAGCAATAGTGGGAGAATCCAAATATATCATTTTCAAAAAATCGTATCTTTAGCGATTTTCGGTCTCTAAGACCCGCTTCTCCCATTAACGAGCTTTTACTATACAAGATCCACACCATTTCTCGCGAGAAGGAAACTGGGATGAGAGCAATGATGACATTGAAACAGCGCGCTCGAACCAAAGTGAAGAATCCGTATTCAACGCTGATGCATCACAGTGGGTAAAAAGGATGCGCACGGTTGAGAGTTCATCTTTCACCAGTCGAGCTGCCCACATCAGGATAGATTGCTCTTCTTCAAATAAACGCGCACTGGTTTCATATAGTTCGTGTTTGTTTCTTCACGCTTATTAGAGCATAACATGGTCACAAATGTATGCACAGCACAGGTAAGCAACTTGCGTGTTTGCGTTTACGATTTTTGCACAAATGTTCATTATTTTCACAACGACTTTTCAAAATAATGAATTATTTTTAGTGGTCCCTTGATATTCGTAGTACTGAGATTTTACTACATGTTGCACATTTACCATAATTTACACATTTGCCATAATTTGCCATGATTGCGCATTTGCCACATTTACCATAATTTTTTACTAAGTACAGTACTGCTGCTAATAATGAAATTTGAGACGTTCCTAAACATTGATCTTTCATGCTGATACAAACTGTTAGATGCCTTTAGTGTCCTTTCAACATAGCTGGATAAAAGTTTGTGGTTATTCAAATGGCTTTGCTATTAGTCTATCCTCAAATTTTCATTGAGATATCTCAACAAACGAAAAAGTTGCTGTTCAAAGGTAGCCTATGCGGTGCATCGCACAGTTTCTACCATTTTGCCTTCACCAATAGTGTAGTACTACAGTAAAAGTAAAAAAAAAAAAAATATCTGAACTGGAACAAAAAACAAACGAGGAAGGGGCTGTCTACCTTGACAGTGATGACGCCATCCCTGCCAACCCGCTTCATGGCATCTGAGATGAGGTCACCAATAGAGCGGTCCCCATTGGCCGAAATGGTGGCCACCTGGGCAATCTCCTCAGGCGTGGTGACCTGCTTGGAGAGCTTCTTTAGCTCCTCGACGACCCGCTCAACGGCCAACATGACTCCTTTGCGGATCTCGATGGGGTTGGCCCCCTTGGAGATGCGCTCGAAGCCCTCGCGCGCAATGGCCCGCGCCAACACAGTGGCCGTGGTGGTGCCGTCGCCCGCCTCCTCATTAGTGTTGTTGGCCACGTCCTGCACCAGCTTAGCCCCAACGTTCTGGAAGCGGTCCTTCAGCTCAATGCCCTTGGCAACAGTCACACCATCTTTGGTGATCTTGGGGGCACCCCAGGACTGCTCCAGGATCACATTGCGTCCCTGTGGCAGAAGCAAGGTTTAGTTCTCTTCCTCACAATCAGAGGACATTAAAATTATCCAAGGTGCAAGAAAAATAATTAGGTGTTGACACTCTCTGCCTGGCTCGACAAAGTGCGTAAACATAATGTTCACCTTTAGTACATGCGCCGGCCGCAATTTCGTGGGGGAACTGCGACAAGGAGCTTATTAAGAAACCAAGCGGGACAAAGCAAACATTTTTTTTTTTTCCACCTCATGATATTTTATTTCTACACCGTGCACGCTAGCAACTAGAGCTAGAAACTCACACCGCGTTTCTCACTACATAAACCGCCGCAATTAGCTGCGTGGTGTTGAAGAAAAAAAAAAAACACCGAGTTCTCATGAACAGATGCAGTTACGGATGCTACGTTACGACATGGGGGCCAAGAGGAGGAAAGAAGCAAACATCTGTAATTTACCAAACGAGGTTACAATATAAGGGTTTGATACAATACAAGACATGTATTCACATTACTTACAACTGGATTAGGGAGCTGAGAATCTTGCATAATTCTCTGTTTCTCCGGGCTTCGGGCACTCTATATCCCTCCCTCTCTTACTAGCCTTTGCTGCCCGGCCCAACAAGGGGCAGTCTGGTCCTGTCAATTATCCCGTTCCCGGAACTATATACCTGGGGTACCAACCACCCACCTTTTTCTTATGGCATAGTTGGTTGGTCGTTTAAGAGCCCTCTGAAAAGTGGCTGCATGTTTAGTTGGCAGCATTTGAGCCCTCAGACTATCTTCGGTTGGCTTTTTCGGAGTGCTTCCTAGCAGGGGTGGATCCAGCCACTCATTTCGGGGGGGGGGGGGGTCTTCCGAAGTAACATTGGTGAGGCGGGCGTAGCCATGACCTTTTCTGTTTATACTATCAGAAAAACCCCTTCATAGCATAAATACTATTAATGTGTGCTCACTGTGGTTTTTCATTAGTCTTTATTGGTGATACGAGGAGGACAGGAAGCAGTGCAGTGAGAAGGGTGCTGACAGATATTGAGGAGAAGGAGGCGATCACCCCTACTGCCCATGCAGTGTAAAAAACGGTGCACGCCGGTCGCACGCGTACTTCTGAAGCTTCGGGTACGCTGCTCTAGGCCTACGTTCGACTGTTTTCGTACTAAAGTTCGTATCACCCGCCCCGATTAGGAAGTGCGTTCGGAACATTCTAATTTAGGTCCAACGGACATAGTGAAATTCTGCTGGGGAATTACAAGCATTCTATCTACTGCAACGTCCTTGGTATGAAGAAAGTGGAATAAACGTGGTTTCATTCATTCATTCACGAATTCGTATCTGCCGCATTTTCGCGTTACTTAGATTTTACTCTGCATTTAGATTAACGCCTCTTAAACTCAATTATAATAAAATGAGACAGGTTCGAAAAAACTGGAGCGGATTGAGCTGCTTTTTTTGTCAATGCGGCCAGATCACGCATAGAAATTTCGATTTCTGGGAGGTTTTTATGACAACTGTACAAACTGAAAACACGGTCGAAACAGGATAGTCTCCCGGCCAATCCGGGAAACTTGGCAGGTATGCATAAAGCTATGCGCTGACACGCTACAACACGCCCCTGTAGTCAGGCCATGACGAGTGCCGTTTTGGAAGGTAGGCGTTGTATTTAAAGGTCAACACTAGGTGACTTAAGTTATGTTCAACTGTTCTCAAGAAATGGCGCCACCTCTGACATATAAATATGACTGTCGCCGGAATAAGCAGTGGCATGGGTTGAGTGTGTTCATTGTCCTGAGTCGCGCCGTATTGCTGACACTACAATCTGGCGATGAGGTTTTCGATCACACCGCAATGGTTTTCGCCGTCACCCCGGGCACTCCAGCCATAACATGAACCCGCTGGATACGCCTCTACGAGAATTTTTTTCTCGCGTCCGGAGCTGCCGACCTGCCTGCTGTATCTTGGGACCTAGTTTCTCCCAGCAATGTCATGAAGAGTTTGAATAAAATGGGACATGATGTTACGTGGAGAATAACTTTACTGAACAAAATACAGAATGAACTCTGGACAGACAAGATGGCATCGAGCTCGCTCGTAGAGACTGCCTAAATCGTCTTCTTTCCTGTCCTCTTCGTCGTTATCAACTGCCCGTTACATGATCACCCCGGCGGCTGGAGCACCCACCCGTTGCTAATCGGGAAGCACTAAAGTAATATGGGTTGAGTTGCGTAACATGTACTATGTCAGTGTGAGGGTGAATGATGGCGGGGTTGGTAGGGGCGATTTCGTAAGTGACATCAGGTACTTGGCGTAAGATGCGGTAGGGACCTGAACAGCGGGGGAGTAATTCCTCCAAAAGTTTAAGGTGGCGCGAGAGGGACCAAAGCAGAACGAGATTGCCAGGTGTGAAGTAAACATCACGATGGCGAGCATCATATACGCTCTTCTGATTGTCCTGGGGGTCCAGTAGTCGTCAAGCAACTTGGTGTGCCGCTTGGGCCTTGATTATTGCATCTCGAGCGTACTTAGACGTGTCATTTAGTCTGGTCGGCAGAAGCATGTCAAAAGGTAACGAACGGTCATGGCCGAACAACAGAAATAAAGGAGAGAACCCAGCGGTGTCGTGTCTAGAGGAATTGTACGCGAATGTTACAAACGGTAACGTAGTGTCCCGGTTGCAGTTATCGGTGGAGACATACATGGAGAGCATGTCGTTGAGAGTGTGATTGAGACCATTTGTTTGTGGATGATAAGCAGTCAAAAGCTTGTGTTTAGTTGCGCAGGAGGTCATCAACCACTTTGGAAAAGAAGTACCTGCCTCGATCAGTAAGGAGTTGTCGAGGGGCGCGGTGATGTAGAAGGACGTCCTCCAAAAAGAAATCAGCCACATCAGTTGCACAGCTAGTTGGAAGGGCCCATGTGTTCCCACATTGGGTAGTATAATCTGTCGCTACTGCAATCCACTGATTACCCACAGCTGACGTAGGAAAAGGGCCAAGCAGGTCCATGCCAACGCAGTAGAATGGGCCTCGTGGGATGTCCAGTGGCTGAAGACAACCAGCAAGAAGGGCATTTGGTGTTTTCCGTCGTTCACAAGGGTCGCAGGCTGCATCATAAAAGCAGACGTCGCAGTACATGCCAGGCCAGAAGAAGCGCAGGCGAACTCTGCCGTAGGTCCGTAACACGCCGAGTTGACTAGCTATCGGTGCATCATGATGCTGGGAGAGAACAGTCTGACGCAATTGAAAGGGAACGACAAGTAGTCTTTCTGGGCCGTCAGGATGCATATTGTACAGCACAATACACCATCGTGTAACTCAAACATTCAAAGGAAAGGGTAGGGCATCATCAATGTTAGCTTTCGAATGATACTGTCCAAAAAAGTATCCCGCCGCTGCTCGATTCCTATGTCATGAAATGCGGATAGAGAAAGAACGTCGGCAGGAAGGGTGGTTGTAAAGGAGTTGCCGCCTGGAGGGTAGACAGGATATCGGGACAAGCAGTCGGCACCTTGATGCAAGCAGCCGGTTTCGTACAGGACTTAGCAGTAAAATTCTTGAAGGCGCAGGGCCGAACGGCCAAGACCGCCTGAAGGGTCTTTCAGGGATGAAAGCCAGCACAAGGGGTGGTGATCAGTGATGACTGTGAATGGCTGACAGCACAAATAGGGACAAAATTTACCGACTGCCCAAACAAGTGTCAAACATTCGCATTCACTTACTGAATATTTTCTTTCACCGGACGAAAAAAGGCGGCTGGCATAGGCAGCAACAAGGTCGCGTCGTTGTTTCTCGGCCAGGACTGCATCGATGCCATAGCCACTTGTGTCTGTACGAACTTCTGTTAGAGTCGAGATGTCAAAGTGAGCGAGGATAGAAGAAGTAAACAGCCACACTATATTTCGGAACGCATCTGCTTGCTAAGGGCCCCGATGTAGCCATCTTTTTTGAGGAGGTGAGTAACAGGGCGTTCGACGTCTGCGAAGTTTTTAACAAAGCGGCAGAAATAAGCACTGAGGCCAACGACACTGCAAACGTCTTTGGTACACATTTGTACAGGGATATCTTTTACTGCACGTATTTTATCTTGATCAGGGAAAACACCTACAGGATCAATGAATAACCTTTTGTCCGAGCAGAGAAATTTTACGACAGTCGGATTGGCACTTTGCCGAATTGAGGTGCTGTCCCCCCGCACAAAAGTCAGGCAAGATTTTTGATAGCCTTTCAAAGTGTGTCGAAAAAAGGAGAAAAATGATGAAGTCATCCAGGTAGCACAAGCAGATGAACGATTTGAAGCCTTGCAGCAGGGCGTCCATCATACTGCCACAATGTGTTGGTGGCAGAAGACGAGAGCGAAGAAGTGATTGGCTGCTGTGGCTGAGTAAACGGTCGTCCACTTCGAGTTCCTGTCTATCGTTTACTCTCGCGACAGACTGGTGGACGTGCTGGGTACTGTACTGCAACGTCTTATGCTTGCTGGTCCTGGACCAGAAGCAACCACACCCAGTGCACCAGAGTCTGCTGATATCCATCGAAACAGCCGCCGCCTTCAAGGACTACCACCGCAGTACGGCCCCTTGGCAAGTTCTGCGAGGACAATGTTTGCCACATCCGCAACCCAAACTGAGCATAACCCTGTGTCATCAACACGCCTCGCACATCGAATCCATTATATCGTGATGCCGGCAAAGATGTCGAAGACTGACTTGACCGTTTCGACCGGGTTGCCGCCATCAACGACTGGGACAATCGCAGTAAGTCGAAGAGCGTGTATATCTCCCTCTTAGACGCGGCAAGAGTGGGGTACGAGAACCACGAAACTTCATTCACACGTTGGCAGGAATTCCATCGGCAGCTTCGCGAGGAGCGTAGTAACCCTGAAAGGAAAGAGAGAGCAAAGCAGGCACTTTCTTTGCGGTTTCAAATGCCGAACGAGAGCGTTGCAATGTTTATCGAAGAGATGTCGCGACTGTTTCGACGGGCTGACCCCCACATGCCAAAAGACAAGAAAGTGCGCCTGCTA